GAAAATGTTATTGTGGTTACTATCATCAGTGGTTACTTCAAGTAGAAATCTTAACGCAGCAAACTGGTTGTTGGTCATTGAATTCGTTAGACAATCAAAAATATTAATTGATTAAAAGAGCAGATAAGATTATTCTTTACTTGTTACTTAACCTATTTATTATACAAAATAATTGACGAAATATATGTATTTTTATCAGATCCACGCATACAATATATATGTATCACCGAAATCTAGTTTATAAACATAAGTGTCATGAAACCATTTCAATCAATAATCACGGTGCAAAAGAAAAAAACTCATTTTAAGGCATATTGAATAAAATGATAAGACAAACAAGCAAGCAAATTCTACTGTTTTTTAAAAACGATAATGGAGTAATCGGTATATGTTTATTTGATTAGAGTGACGTTTTTTTGAGTATAATCAAGTTATCGTTGTGTCTTTTAGACTTTTTGAATCTGGTTAGTCCAAAACTTTAATTAGATCTATTATTGTTAATGATTCCATCAGCATCGCCTCTATGATTACTGTCAATCTCAGGTCCCAGCAAAGCAGAAGCGTTTGGGGGGGGGGTAGGGTCAGCAACCCTGTTTCATAAAACACCTCTTTAAAAACGATAACCAGTAAAAAATTATCATTATTTGTAATGTATTTGTAGTGTTCTTCTCTCAGATACTTTCAGCTATAAATTTCCACAGTAGGATATTTGTAGTGTCGGTTATTATGTTAACCCCATATACCTTATTCTAGCTTTCGGACAGACCATTCTATTCATTCTACTCGAGTTACATTCTAACCTTGTTATTTATTCGCTTATCAATTTTAACTGTTTTCATATGAGCGCGTAGGTGTGTGTGTACTTCTTATCCCATTACTCATCACATCTCTGTAACTTATTTCTGTGTGCCTATAAATGTTGATTAAGGGTTGGTTAAATGGGAGTTGGCTTACCAGCCATCTGCACTGCGCGTCGTCTCACTTCGTTCTATTCCATTCACTTTATATACAGAATATATGTATTTACAAGTCCATTCTCGTTATGCGACTTATTGATTCCCGTTATTGACTACCATGATTTAAATCGATGATTATATACGAGGATAGGTGACATGTATATTTCAACAACAATCATCATTGCAATCACCTTGGAATCAGAACCCGGGCCACTAAAGTGGAAAGCCCTTTCGACAACGTCGTTCGATCTAAATGACGACGAAATTACGGGCGCCACATATTCTAGACTTTCTATTCCAAAGATTGTAGTCATTAGTGTTTTATAAGGAAATATTGTTGACATTCATGCAATAAGTGTAGCCCCTATTATTAATTGTAAGACTGGATTCGATATTGTCCTAATGTTAGTTACCTGTAAAAAGTGATCATATATTTAAGAGGTAGTAAGTTCAAGTATATTCATTTTGAAATTATGTAGTTCTCTGGACATCCCTGTCAAAAGTTTCTAGTTATGTTGTCAACAATTACCAAGTGAGCTAAATGACTTTTCAATTTAAGGTGTACCATCCCAATAATAAATAGGAAACGTCGTCTCAGCTTATTTCTGTACAGAGTTTTACCAATTACCTTTGATAATCATATACGTATCCACTCAAAGTTATATTTGTAAATGTATATTAAAATTAGACGATGTAATTTTGAACCGTATGTTTATTGCAAGTTTTTGAAAAATATACACTCAGAAATCATATTACACAACAGGTGTATGTAATAGAAACCAATTAAAATGTGTAGCTACTGTATGGAAATCACCGTCAAACTAAATGTAGTTGAAATGTCTAAATTATTTACAGCTCAAATAAGGTTTATATGGTATTGTGTTGTTTCAAACTTAGTAATCTACCTTGACGGGCCTTATTATCACTCTAGACAATGTTATCAGTCGAAGCATTAATACAGAAATGAGACATTCAGAAATGTTTTTTTGAAATATATCAAATTTTTATGATCTGACGAAAATGTTTGTGAGCAGTTTTTTTATCAGAAGGTTTCTTTATTTTCATGTGTATTCTCTTTCTTATTGACACTTTTGCTAAGTTACACAGTTGATCACGTTTACGTTGATTAATGTTGGTTTATTTAGTTTCAATATTTATATAAACCAGATGAAAGTTATCAGAATTATGTGGTATATATTTCCTCAAGACATTTCGAACAACCTGATCATACACACTTGTTAAGACATCATAAATAAAAGGTCAACTAAACATAATGCTTAAGAAGCGGAAACAAAGATAATAATAAAGTACACAGTGTAAAAAACGATATGAACTTCACCCTGGGTAGTAAATAAGTATTACCCGGGTAGGTAAGAACAAAATATTTTTGAATACTTAAGGTGGGGGTTCAGTTTTCTTATAGCCAAGACTTCGATAAACTTTGTATAAGATCTTGTACACTTTTATATTACACTACAAATGTTTTACTGGATATCCACCCATTACCAAATGTTTATCAATGGCAGAAGATATTTGTCTGTCGTGTGATTTTATTTGACCATCATATGGCTCTCTTAACCTTCGTCTTCTTATTAGATTATCCAAATTTCATTAGTTACTTATGTGAGTGACCTAAAATCTGAAGTGAATCGATTGTCGTTTTTTCATTATTTTGCGTAAAATTTTCCCTTGACTGAATCAAACATTTTAATTAATTAGAAAATTTATAAATTCTGTTTTAAAACGTCATCACTATTACTGACGCTTTTGTCTTTTAAGTATGTTAGATAACACAGTAACGAAGTAGATGATTGTGATTAATATTTATGCTAATCACATATACTTTTTGAAGTACTTAGAACTTACTTGACCGCTTCAAACATAATGAGTGGATCATGCTTCGAACTAAGATCTTAGAAGTCAATTATTTAACTCTTGAACTATTTAGCCTAAATACATCTATAGAACACTGGATATATCTAAGACTTTGAAAATACAAACGTTTAGATATACAATCAGTTATTGTATGTAAGAGACGTTCTTAAATTACAGGAAAATCGTATCATGACAGTATGCCCTTCTGTTTGTGACACTGACTAATAGTCATAAGTCACATGAGTTGTCAGTGCATTTTCAAATCAACATCAGTTCCTTTTCCATATGTTTGCTTGATTCATTATTTACTACTTTATTAATTAAATAGTATATTTCACATCCTTACATGCGCCAGTTAGAATGAATTCTAACTTAAGGAGTTTCGGATATTACAAAATATGGAGTGAACGGTGCGAACTTTATCTAATAAATTCTTATCTAAGATTTACGACCATTAAATTTATGAGTATTTTATTACAACGACATAATAAGCCCACTCAAAAGTGTCGACTGAATTAGACTACATAAAAATGGTTACTGCTGAGTGGTGAAGGGACTTTGTGGAGATTGGTTTAATTTGTGGGTTGTATTCGTCACAGATTAATTTCAGCTGAGATACCACTGAAAACTACGAGATATTGGATGGCTACTTTGTCCTAGTATGGGGCTCCTCAATGGTGCACACCGATGAGTCCTTCAAGGATCTGTCCTAAAGTCGTCATGTTTCACGACAGATGCTTACCTATTAGAACAACTGGGTTATTGCCCAATACTAAAATTTCAAGTTTAATAAATTCGCGATCCACGTTGACGATCATTTAATCATATTGTTGACAACCGTTTCACTCCAGATACATCTGTGCACACTGGGACGAAACAATTGTCCAGTGATCCTTGGTTCTAACATTAATTGAGGGTAATCTATGATAAATAAAACCTGAAGCTTATTTAGCGTGGGGAAATCTCATTTTTAAAAGCGATTAACCTGGAAGTAAAAAATTCAGCGGTGTAGTCACCGTGTCATTGAGTGATGCCAGTTTGAATTCTATAATGAACATCAGTTCTCCTTTCGTGATTGCAAATACACCTTGGTAGTAAATACCAACTGAGTTGAAACCTAGGTCTACGGCTTATTATCGATAATCTTCTGTATCTTGGAAATTTTTATTAATTTTATTGGATTATGTATTTATTTGTTACTGTCTTTTCACTTTCCAATAAGCTTTTTTTATCGGATATGAACTTGCTATGGAATGTATAACCGAGAATAATTTAGTATTATTAATGGTAGTAACAATATCGATTTAATCAAGATGCATATTGAGATAATGACTGATTACTGATGTAAATTGATGTTCTGTGAATACTAGTTGAAATCCAATGATTCTACATTTACCGAGTATACTCTGTAACCTTATTTAGAAAAAAATTATAACCATAAACTTGATTTGTTTAGAAATGTCTACGGAATTAAACCTTAAAACAATTTAATACACACATGCATACACTCAATAATAAAGACCAATCCAGCAGAAAAGATTTCTTTACAGATGTTTTTATTCTGTATGGCGTTAACTTATCCCGCATACGTATAAATCACTGAAATACGCTTGTCTTCAAACACATTCAATCATACAGACTGACATTCAAGATACACATGTATCCAACCTCTATCATAACCAAATGTTTACAAAGATTCGTTGAAATATTTTAAATGACCTTAAGTTTTATATTCATTTCTTTTTCTGTTTGTTGATAAGACTGATGATGTTGGTGACTCATATATAAAATTGGCAACATACAAAAGTACACATGGTTCAGTTTGCCAAGTTTACTTCAGTTGACCTTAATTATCAATTGTAATTTATTCAAACAGAAAATAAACGTGAAGTATTATTAAATAGTTAATGTCTTGGGACTTCAATTTATTTTGTTTTTATAAACGGAACCGGCTTGTATTCATAAATCAACATTAGGTGGACAGTGTAACTGATTCACTATTCAATTCGAAACTATTAAAGATTATTTTATTTATAAATACAATGTGTACTTTGTTTAATGTTAAGAGTTTACAGTTGGTTTATTTAAGGTTTACTTTCTATTTATACGTTTCACCAGGTATGTGATACATAAGAAAGATTATCTCTATTCATTAACGCTGGAAATTTATTCAGAAAAAAAATGCACAGCTTGACTTACTCGTATTGAATACTTCTGCTGTCAATAATAAACATCTAATGAATATCAATTGTGAATGAAGTTTACCTACTATTAAAACAGATTGTAATGTATCTTTTAATTAGTGTATTCAATTTTGTTATTCTCACATAACACATATGTTCATTAGGACTTTAGAAAATTTTCCATTGTAAAATGATTGATCTGAAACGAAGTGATTGTTCTAATAGTTTCAGGTTTGATTAGCTTTACTTTTAATGCTGAATAATTTTGATTTAGTTTTGTTTTGAACAAAACTATCTATCTATCTATCTATCTATCTATCTATCTATCTATCTATCTATCTATCTATCTATCTATCTATCTATCTATCTATCTATCTATCTATCTATCTATCTATCTATCTATCTATCTATCTATCTATCTATCTATCTATCTATCTATCTATCTATCTATCTATCTATCTATCTATCTATCTATCTATCTATCTATCTATCTATCTATCTATCTATCTATCTATCTATCTATCTATCTATTGTCAAATAATATCTGTTTCTATCTTCTACCATAATAAATTGGTTAAACTATCTATTTGTTGTCATTGTTATTAGTATTCATTGAAGTTGTCAAAATAAAATTATTTTATTAATTTTTTGCTGAGGGGTCCCACAATAGGACGAGATGACCATCCAGTGCTTCCAAATTTTTCATGGTGGTCTAGCTTCAAGTGATTCATGATCTCAACTACTGAAATGTTTTTTAACAAAGAAAAATGAAATCTACTTAATGAAGTCTATTCAGTGAATATTTGATATTCAGTTCATTAATATTTCTGTAAAGAATGATTATTCTATTCTATTTGTAACTAAGAGATATACAAAGCACTGGAAGTCCTATACTAGGACGAAACGGCCATTCAATGCTTTCAGGTTTTCCATGGTGGTCTAGCTATAATTGACTCATGAATTCAACTATTAAATTACTAGAATATCCTTAAAACCCCTCTCTAATTAAAATATAATTTCAATATTATAGTCAAAAAACGAAAACTTTCCTCATTCATGAACATGATATATGAGTCATAAATAGGACTGAATCAATGTATATAAACAAGTTTAAGCATTGTTCACAATCTCGTTGCTTCTAATACACACATTGAATGTACGCATACATTTAACATGTTTACCCATATGTAAAAATTAGTTGTATTACAATATCTTTAACTAATGATTAGACAGTTACAGATTTTGAAATCTGAATAAAAAGGTAACAAAATGAATATTTGTAAATAAAATGAATAATAATGTTGGTTTTGATAGTAGTAACATGCTTGTCAAAAGCTTTGAGTGAAATATGTTTTACTGATAGTTTTTTTTTGTTGTTGAGTAAAACGTTAATACTAGATATCTTTACTACTTGTTCTCAGTAAAATCTGTTCAAAAATATGAATGAATATTAGGTGAGAGTTTGTGTTGTTACTTAATCACAATGGTTTTAACTTATTTGCTTTAGAATTCTATGCCCTTGTCTCTCTTTCACACACTATCTAATTTTAGATGAAATTAGAACGTCATCAATTGTATATATAGCTAGTATGATGTTTTCTATTTATCTATCTATCCACACATCTATCTAAATTGTAATGTTATTGAGCACAGATCAAAAAGTATCTGAAAAAAAACACATTTTCATAGTATGTATCTGTTGATATCCGTGCTGGTATGATTTATCATAGTGCTGAATTACATTTGGTTAAAGGTAAGTAGTAACCAATAACGAAGTTTTATTAACTAGTTCTAGACAACTATAATTGGGTAAGGACAAGGCAATCTCAAAGATCTGAGTGTACTTTCTGTAAAAGATAATATTGATATTCATCATCGAAAATAGCATTAATTCAATGTGATTGAATATTGATGAAGAATTTTAAATTCATGTCATTTTAAAATACAACCAATTATATTGAGTAGCAAGTTTTCGAGATGCCTAAATCATCAACATGGAAGTATATTACTCAGTAGGTTGCAAAGTATATATATGTATATATTCAGTAAAACAACAAAATGGATACATATTTATATTTCACAGTTTTTTATAAGCAGCAAACAGTCTGAATTAATAATATGAGCGAAAACGTAGGTCATCATTAAATCAGCATGATAGGCATAAATGGTTAGATAAAAGTGAAATTGGAATTGTATCATAATAATTATCTATATTCCAACAAAATAGTCGTTTCTTTTGCTTTCCTTTATATATATGGTCTGAAACGACTAATGATGAGATCTTTTAAAGTGCTAAGTGAAAACGATGCTCGTTGTCTGTTGATTAATTTCATATATACTCTCACTATATTTCTTCATATCGTTGTCCTGATAACACTCAAGTAATAATAGTAGGTGGAGACTTGACTTGTCATAACGTTTCAATGATATAAAGTTTATGAATCAATCACATATTTTGTTAATGGCTTACGCTGGCTTAGTGATTACATTGTATAACTTGACCGATGGGATGTAACTATGAAAAGAGGAGTAACACTGTTATATCAGCTATGATCTGGAGACAAATCGAAATGAAATCAAACTGTCGTAAGATTACGCTCATTTTATTAATGAAAAATTGTTGTAAAATACATGATAGATACTGATTGGTTAAAATGTAAGCTGAACAGAGTTAGTTGTAGAGGAAATTTATGTGAAAATGAGTCAATCTGATTGGTTTTTATCCATTTAGGCAATAATACTCCATATTATATTACAAAGCAAATAAATATCAAACGTAAACACCAATGATTTAGTCTTTTTTCATTGAAATGAGCACACTGATAATATAACAATACGACACGAATCAACTTGTTTACAATCAATGTGTTAAAAGTAAACAATTTTTATCAAGTAGTCTGGTGATAACAAACTGAATTATCTATTGATCATCATCTGTCAAAACTGTTATATATATATATATATGTTTACTTTTGGCATTGATTTATTTTTTTGAATTGTTTCCCGCCAAAAATTTACATAATAATTATCGACTGAATGTGTGTTCACATTAACGAATTTATTATCTGGTCGACAATCGATAATAACTTTTCATAATTACCTAGCAAATAACTGTATTGAGGAACTACTTATCAACTGGTATTGATTTAGAGGACTTCTAAAGACACAATGTAACTGAGGATAAACTTGTGTGGAATATCTGACAGTATATGTTAAAAAAACATGTATAAACTAATCAAATGATATGTTCGGTACCTAAATGCTATACTCTAACTTCCTAACCGCTTACTAATTTCTTAGAATTCTACTACATTAGAGCTCAGATTGAGAAAACGAAGGTGGAAAATATGAAAAAAGGTTTGTTTCCAGAGCTAGCTCATATACAGAAACTAAAGGAATGGAATGACATTGATTTTCTTGAGTGTCCGGGAAAAAGACCAAATTTAGCAACAAAAGGGGTAGTTGGCTATTTAAAATATGACACGTAATCTATCATTTTATTGGAAATTTCTAATCGAAATGTTTTTTTAGCCTTTTTCCAACTTTTGAAGATTATCCAGAACTCTCAAAGCCAATATCATTAAGGTATTTTCAATTTTATTAGTTACTTATATGCATTATTAGGGTTATTGTTATTATGACACCCTATCGATTACCTTAACAACTACTGGTTCATTGCAAACCCAGCAAGGTATTTTATCTCCCTACTGAACACAAACATTTTCATGATCACGAATTTGCATTACATCTTGAATATTAAAATCATGATTTAATCAAACTACTATACACTTCATTCATTTTAGTTATCATAACAACTCCAGAGACGATAGTTTTTATTGTCTTAACTATTAAAAAGATTTTCCATAATTTACAGGTATTACACAAATGAACCTGTAAAATTTTAATTATTCTAAAACGTGTCATATAAATTATATATTCGAAAAATATAATCGTTTTGGTTATATTCGTCCTCAGTATATTCATCACGAATATATCATATAAAGATTATATTTTTAAGGTCGTGTCCATTACTCTCCCCATCTGTTAATGAAGTAGACGAATTGACCTTAATTTCTATGAGCACTAAGTGAATTTTGTTTAATCTAAGGTCATTCACAGGCCTATTGTTTCATGATACAGTAAATTTATAAGAAATGAGAAATCACATAAATGTGAGATATTGAAATAAGTTTAATTAAAAAAGAATAATAATAATAATTAAATATTCACTGATTTCCAGAGTGATTATACATTCTAGAAGGTAATGATTCATATCTGTCACATAGAAAAGAATTATTGGTTCTAGTTGTATTCCCTTGGTGTCATAGTCATCAATCAGGAAAAAAAAGTAAAAGCCTTACATATAACTTCATACTTATTAAACAATTTATCAACTGCTTAAACTCTAGCTTAATGGACAGTGTATAAACATCTGAAAATACCAATACTGAGTTCCAGTCTCAATATGGATAGACACTGAAATCTAAGTACATCAACCTGACAAATCCTTAATAGGACGAAATTTTTGTCCTAGATTCCACTACTAGCTATTATCCAAACATACTAAGACTTAAATAAAAGCGATATCGAAGTAACTCATTCAAGATGTGTACATATCAAGAGAAACTAGTTGTAATTCTTAATGTCAGCAGTGGGAAAATTCAATCATATACATATACTGTGTAGGTAGGTTTTATGTATTTACTTGGAACCCAGAACATTTTTTTCTTGTGAGTTCAACCGGGTCTGTTGTGAGATAGTAACTCACTGATGACAATGGTGGATGTGTGGCTCAATTTCGTGGATTAGTTGAAGTTAGACATTAACGCTATTGGATACCAGCCGACTCAGTGGTCTAGTGGTTAGGCGCTTACGCACGAGATTGATAGGTCCTGGGCTAGAATCTCGCGAAGCAGGGTCGTGAGTGCGCACTACTGAGGAGTCCCACAATAAGACGAAATGGCCTTCTAGTGTTTCCAGGTTTTCCATGATGGTCTAGCTTCAATTGACTCATAACTTCAACTATTGAAACTTAATTATCTACATATCAACATATGTTATTCAGCACTCAATAAAAATAATTTGCTACTATTATTATGTTAATGTGTGGCTTTTCAATATTCTATATAACTTGATAATTTTCATTAGGGTTTAAATCCACCGGCAGATTGATCGAAAATTAAAAAGTGTCTTTTGACTGTCAAATCTATAGCGAAGGTTGTTCATTTGATTTAGCAATTGGTGTCACCATCTTGAAACACCGACTTGGCTTGAACATGTTCTACGAATGTAGTCCCAGAGAATTCCACGTCGTGCATTATTTGCCGACTCTGCGACTGGTTGGAGGAAGCGGAGAGGTGGTCAGTGCATGACATGGTGTCGTGGCATGAAAGAAAGCTGCAAAAGACTGGCTTGTGTTGGTCCTTCACGACTCCCTGGCTGGGGTCCGAGAGATGGTGTGACACAGTAGCTAGAGACGTTATCAAATATGGCTCAGAATGGGAGCCAGTGGAGATCCTGCTATAACCTTCTTTTACTTTCTTCATAAAAAGTGGTCGTTTCTTCCTTAACTGAAAGATTTCTTCTGATTGTACCTTTCCGTTTCCCCCATTATTATTATGATTACTATTACTATTACACTGCCTTACACTAATCTGTTCGTTATTGTTCTTTTTCTTCTCTTTGATTTCTCATTGTTTTGTGTGGCGCATATATATTTGGTGCCCTCTTGTACCAATATTTATGTGTTCAAATAAATAAATAAAATAAATAAAGCAACCTTATCAAATATTACCGTGTTCTTTTCAAGTGAACATAAATGTTTTCATTTCTTTAAACATTGATATAAATAATTCATTGATACTTTTGATATATTTATTATACTATAATATTTTACAAGTGACATTTACATGTATATGAATGTGTTAAGTAAATCAATATTGACTATCATGATAAGGATGATTAATTTCCAATCACAAATACTTAATAATCCGTTAGTATATGATTATGAAATTGTTGATTTAATCATTACTACAGATCTTCTAGTTTCTAGTTTAATAATAGTATCAGATAACAGAGAAAACTATTAGTAATATTCTTTATTATATTTTAATATTTGATTATAAAGTGAATTAATCTATCATGCTCATTGTACTTCCAAGACGTTGTATAATCTAATGATTAATTTATTTAATTACTTCTGATTTTTAAGGGTAATATAATTCATACACTAAATCAATTAACTTGAAGGAGAAAGAAGGTTAAACTCTATAACTCTATTGAAAGGTATTCTATATGTAACGAAATTCATACCACGTATATATATAGTGAACTATCCAATCAAATGGAATATATGTATTCATTCCTTTACGTAAACATTCATTTACAATGAGATTACATAAATAAATACACAAATAATATGGCACGTGATGGTCAGCTGTCTCTATAGACATCACATTTATATTATGACGAAAAATGTTAACTTTTTATTTTCGTAGACAATAACTAGAATCTATTTATCGAACAACATTATCTCTAATGCATATATATATATATATATATATATATATATATATATATATGGAACGGGAGAGAGAGGGGGGGAGAGTGGGTTGTCCTGCATAAAATTTATCAATCATAATAAATGTAATGGTATTGTCGATTTAAAGAGAAACATTTACTACATCATTCATGCGAAAATCAATAAATCAATAAAAATCATCCAACCTTATTTCTTTTTTTTAATCATTTATTAGATTGTTGTAATTATACAGCTAAAGTGAGCTTACAAGTGTATACCTATACAATTATGTTATTCCAATGGTAGAACTATTTCTACATGAATCACTCTGAATTAGACATGTCATAATTATGATATCTTATTCTTTTGACTGTGATATTTTTGTTGTTGTTGTTGTTTTTTTTTTCTTCATCAATTGTAATGCATGAGTTACCAATATAAGTATTAGGTTGTTTCTGTTTTAAGATTCAACTTCTATACTAGTGTTTCTTCAATTATTCCCAGGTTTCTATTTTAAAATTCAGCCTACAACATGAATGTTTCAACATAATTTTGTGTATTCAGGATGTATGTTTGTGTTTGGGATCTTCATCTAGTGACTTTTAAATGATTCCTAGTGTTGTGGTTGTTGCCTAGATATATACTCGACCCGGATATTTTACGCACACTTTAATTATTCATTTAAAATATCGAATAGAAAGATTTCTCTCAATCTCCTTAATTCACCAAGAATATCTGGTCTACATTATCATTAATGAAGAATACAATTTGTGATCGTGATTTACACAATTAGAGATCATCATGTATCCCTAATCAAACATTTTCTCAGCAAGATATTTTGATTGCGTTTATTGTCATCATATGATTATCAAGTTACCAATGGTGGCGTACATTGTGTTTTGTAATACTGTGTATCCTGTTTATTATTAGTTTACTATTTATTGATTGATATCACCCTGTGACAATGAAAAAGAAAGCAATTCTAATCATACCCTGATTTGATTTGCCTAGTGTAGAAACGTGAAATGTAGACTTCTGATTTACTGAGAAAATCTTTTGAATTAAAGTGAATTTCAGAATCTAAAGTTAACTGATTACTATCGAGTGATCAATTTCAGGTTAGTTCAGCACCTTAGTACTGATCAAACTCTATCGATCAAGGTGTAATGTGGCCACTAGTCCAAGCGACTCTCAAGATCAAGTCCACTATATTTAGATGAAGCTTGGTGGATAGAACTCGATGAATACCAGGAAAATATAACATTGGTGATTATTTAGTGACCAATCAGTTGTTAGCATCTCAGTATTACAAGGATCCTGTGCCCGCTCAAATAGTTCAGTGCTAATGTCTCAGATAGTGAAGCTCCGTGACGCTATTTCGAATTCCATATGGAGTATCAGTTATACTTTGGAGACGAGTACCAAATAGCACGAGAACTGTATCCGAGATTACCTCCAACCACTAACCAACTACTCAGGTAGAATTCAAGTGCCTGAATTTTGTTCTGATGTTGTCTTTCAGAATAACGATAAAACCTCCATGACCAAACTATCCAGCTCAGACAACAAAACTCCACTAAAATTAGTTATTCCACTATTTTATGTAGTACGTTTTAGTACTCTACACTTCAAATCGATATTGAAACATAGTTTATTAACGAACATAAAGGCTTAGTGGATATAAAGTAATATTTGATCAAATAACCATTATTGAAAGTTAATTCAACCAAGAAACACTGCCTTATTAGAAATTTAAAGTCAATGTTGCACAGGAACTATACTGAACATCAAATAAATACATAAAATAATATTAGTAGCAGTAAGTGACTGAAAGGAACGTGTGGACGAAGCAAATGAAAAAAAAACTTTAAGTGTCAAAAATATGGAGAGCATAACTATAAAAACTGATCTTCATTACTGCCGCTAATTTCGATCTATACTTGTAAACATTTGAATTTAGTAATATTAATTATTTAGTACCAGAAACTCCGTATCCCTTCACACAACAGAAGTCTATGAAATAATTAGATCGGTATTTAGAAACATAGAAACGTTTTCGTTGATAAGTAGTTAAAATCAGTTGCCAAAATTATTTTCCCAATACACGAATCACAACCCCCTACTTCATAGCAAATATATAATTTAATCTGGAAGTCTGTAAATCAAGATCCGAAGTATTTTAAGTAGTTTGCTTTTTTACATAGTTAGTCACAATAAGCTAAAGTCCAGTTATGAATAAGTACTTGTCCGAAATTCCATAAATTGCATCAGTTAAAAGGCCTAGAAAGTAAAAAAGACAGAAAAGTAATAGACATCTAGATACGGCAAATAGAGCTAAAAAAATTACTTGGAAAATGAGAGGTCATGAATGGGACTTAAATCATACATCTAAGATAAGTCAGATTGAAGGCAAATGCACCAAACGACTGCCGATGAGCTGTCATTTGATTCCTCTAATCATAGATTACAGTTATTTCTCAAAGCAGTTAACATGGCCTAAATTGATCATTAATCATATTTTGAAGTGATGTCATGTCTTAAGCTGTCAGTCTATAGCTTTCTTTCAACTTACTATTTTGTCAGTTATCACCACATGTCAGGATAGGCGGAAGTTAAATACATTTAACACGTATCTCAATCACCTTAAAATTTATTTCATTAACTAATAGTTACAAAACATCTAATTCAATAATTGAAATCCATTGACACTGTATAACTTCAAGCTGAAAGTATAACAAGTAGTAGGTTGAAAAAAATTTACAAATATGAAAACTGATTACAATTAATTCGTTAACTTATTTATCGACACGCATATACTGTAATTTCTAGTGAAAACATTTCATTGTCATTTTAATTTAAGCTAGGCCACCATTGAAAACCTGAAAGCACTGGACGGCCGTTTCTTCCTAGTACTGGACTTCTTAGCAATGAGCATCCAAGATCCCACATGCGGGACTCGGACCCAGGATCATGGATTCGCACTACTGAGGAGCCCCATACTAGGACGAAATGGTCATCCAGTGCTTCCAGGTTTTCAATGGTGGTCTAGCTTAGTTCAACTCATGAATTCAACAAATCGCCATACTGGCTTTCATCTAATTTTAAATCAATCTAATATCAAAGCAATTCACTTAATATGTTCAATTTCTGTTGTTTAATACATTATAAACTTTTACTCTTTATTTTATTGATATCCAACTTGTTGTAATTCCATATTTGTCTGTGTTTATCGTTATATTTGTCCTAATAAATTACCTAACTAATTTATTCTGTCCACATATTGTATTCTCCAGAAATGATCACTTTACAATTGCACAACTAGTGGATAAATTTAATTTTGGTCAACTTTTCAGTTTATCCCTCTCTCTAGTTTATCCCAGTATTTTAACTATGAACAATTTCGGATTCCATCCCATTTTTCTTATTATTTTTCATTATGGGTTGTTTTCTCATAAACTATTCAAACTTATCAAGTAATTTGTGCATTTATTAGCATGTAGGCCATGTAAAATTGAGGACGAAATATTACTGCTAATTTATCTTACGTAAGAAGAATTTCTGATGTACAAATACATCATTGTAAGATGGTCGGTAAACGTGAAAGTTTTGTTCACTTATGTGGAGAATATGCGATTAGAATGGTGATAAACTCCTTTTAACATCAGATTAGTTGACTTACTCCTGACTTTAATTCCTAGAGCTGAATCCATAAAGCCAAACCTTTTCTTCAGGAAGGAAG